CGCACTCACTCACTCACACACACACACACACACACTCACTCACTCACTCACACACACACACACACACACACACTCACTCCCTCACTCACTCACTCACACACAATACATTCAGTGTGGTTTTTGTATTATTTATAAGGTACAATATGATAGTATTTATTAATATTTTGAATTAGCTTTTAATTGTATGTTTTCAATTATCATTTTAATTTTATTGTAAGTTTAGTAATTTTGTTATGCGCTTTTGTCATTTTTTTTATTTTGTATTATATTTTTTATTATATTTCTATTTCTGGAACCTTCAATGAATTAAAAAAAAAAAAATATATATATATAATTACACTGTAACAAGGACACCTTAAAATAAAGTGTAACCCATTTTTAATAGTTCTTGTTAACAACAACCACACTGGTTACATTATTGATTTGGTTATTAGATTATTCAGAACACACATGAATACACTTCTGACATGTTCACGTATCACTTTGACGTGCAGAGCGAGTGTGTTTGCACGAGCACAGGACGTGAATATTCATTGTCTGTTTCATCTGTTTGTCCTGGTTTGCACAGATTGTGGTGAAGAAGGGTGAGGAGGTGAACGGATATCTGAAGGTCAGCTCGGCTTCTTCCCGCCGACATCTTACAGGAGATCTGAGTGTGTGTTTGCTTCGACACAGGAGGAAAATCTTAAATATTATGACATATAGAAATAGTATGTGAGTTTTGGAGTTTATAGCAGCATATTTTTGATGATGTGAAGAGACCCTGTTGCAGACGTCTCCTCTCTGTCTGTCTGTCTCCTGTCAGCGACTCAGTAGTGTCTTTATAAGTATGTGTAGCGGCGCGCGGCTGTCAGCGGTGGCGAGGCTAAGCTTCAGCACTCGCATGATCGGCCAACAGCAGCCCCCGTCAGATACGGGTCACTTCCTGTTGATGGCAGACGTCACGCGCGGAGGACAGCGGCGGCGTGACATCAGACCGGCCGTGTCTCAGTTCACCTCTGACCTCTGTCAGCCGCAGACGCCTCATGGAGCTCAGACAGAGACAGAGGAGACGCAGACGGACCTGAACGCAAAGTACTTCAGAGATCAGAAACATTCAGTTCTGATCAATTCTAGAACTGATTTAGCTGATTAGAGGCCAGCAGTGCTCACGCTCTGTGTTTTTCCCTTTCATTTTCTCCAAGAAATTCTTTAATAAAGAGTTCATGAGTCGAAACGCCCAGATCAACGATGAATCGTGACTGAAAACATATCATTTGTTTAAGAAGAGGAAAACTTGAGCTCTTTTGCTGTGATTCCTGTTTAGATAGATAGATAGATAGATAGATAGATAGGCGGATGGATAGGCGGATAGATGGATAGATAGATAGATAGATAGATAG